TGATGCATGTATTCTTGTTTACAAATTCCGCCCAGAGAGAACTGGTTTCAACATGTACGCAGAGTATACGCAACTGCAATTAACTTTCCTTGCATTACATTCTTGAAGTAACAGATGTCTTTAAATGATCGCAACTAACCTGACTTTGAACTAACGCTGAATATTGCATTTTCGCCAAATCTTCCGTTGCTTGTTCAGGGTAGAACAGGGACTTCCAGAACATGGGTTTATACTGGTGACAAAATTCAGACATAATTCCAAGCACAGTGGTTTAACCGGGGACAAAATTTTGACATGTTTCCAGAAGCAGTGGTTTATACTGGGGACAAAATTAAGACAAAATTCCAGACACAGTGGTTTAAGGTGGGGAAAACTTAATGACATGTTTCAAAGCACAGTGGTTAATACTGAGGACAAATTTCAGACACAACTCCAGGCACATTGGTTTACAGTGGGGACATAATTTGGACACATTCCCAGTGAAAGTGGTTTTAAAAGTGCTTATAATTCAGATGTTTCAATGTAATATTGTTTGTTATTTTGGATAAAATATAAACATACAAGTAGGTATAGGCGCGCCTGATGCAGCTTTATTACTTAAAAACCAATTTGATACAAAAAATACAAAAATATTCACTTCCTACCGGGAAAAAAAATATATTGATTTGAATGTACAAAATGCAGAGTAGTAACTCAAAAAACTGGTGTAAAACTACAGTTATTTCTATGATTCAATCATGGTTTTGAGTTGAAGAAATCCGCATTTTTCATCCTCCACTCTGTAAAGGTTATTTTTAACATCTCCTTCTCCTCCTCTCCACTGAAGATATAGTTCACTGCCTTGCTGGCAACCCTGAACAATTTCTCAGAGTCCCAACCAAACGCTTCTCCAGCAAGTCTGAACCAAACTTTCAACTTAATATACAATTGAAAGCTATAAATCTGTGAAATTCAAATACAACTCAAAACCTTTCTGCTTTTTATTGGATTATATATATAAATCTTTAAGCATTTTCTTTTTCTTAATCTTACCTTGGTTTGAAAAAAACTAAAAAGTTACCCAATGTCTTGAACAAAGCACCGTTTAAAAACTTTTTTTATAACGTAAATACCTTTCTCTTGGCTAACTTTTATGTAAAACATTATCAAGTTAAATCAATTTTTTGACTGGACTAAAATTGAAATAAGGTTTTCCTATATTCTCCACTGAGTGAACAAGAGAAGACACCTTTGTCGTCGGTACAAAGGATAAAAGGAACCTATATGTTAATCATAAAACTAATTAAGAAAAAAATCACAAAGGATTAATTTTCTTCAGAAGTCGGTACCAGAGATGAAAAATCCCCTATCAAGGAGAAGTTGTTGAACTAGGTTGAAGGGGTTCAACTACTTATGTGAAGAAGCTCAATGGCTGAAGTAGAACTAGCGTTAGTCGTTACTGGCTTCCATTTAACGCATTTGAGCATAGGCCAGAAAAGATAAACCTGGTTTCATCTGATCTACATTCATAAATTCCTAATTCCCACTAAATAAGCGCTAAACGTAAGCACCTTGTTATGCAGTAGTCCAGCATGATGTTGAGCATAAGAAGGAACAGAGTTACAGATTACGTTGCTGGTCATACAGACCTCAACTGGAATACTTGAAGACTCCAGTTTATCCCAGAGCTCAGAACATCCCCCTGGAGAACGCCATAATTACAATAGATTAGATTTAAAAGTGAAAAAATAATATCTACCTAAAGAAGGATGAATACAGGTTCCATGACCAATTCTATCCGGACCAAACTCTAAAAACTCCAGGGTTTCCTACCAAGGTATATTCTAGGATTTGTAAAAAAGGAGGATATGACAGGGTTTCATATAAAATAATTTGCAGAATAATTGATCATCTAGAGAATAAAAATGTTATTATTATGCGACTAGGAATATTCCCTGTTTGTTGAATACTTCTGCAAGATGAACAGAGAATCGTATTCCTTCATTTCTGTACAATTATGATGTTGGTTCAAAGAAGAATATGAGTAATATTCTGTGAGCATTGAACCCTAATTGGATTATCATTGACAAAACAAAATAATTCCCTGAGCTCTTGCATCCTAGGAATGATCTGAATGATATTCCCCTGCCTCGGGTCCCCTGAGATATCTATCCCAACCACTTGACCTGGGTAGTCCTGTAAACAAATCCTCTTTATGAAATGACTAACAATAACTTTAACTTAAAATAATGAAAACTTAACTTCTGAAGAAAATTGTACAGTTGAATATGCTCCTCAAAATCTTGCATCAACCTTCTGTCAACTGCTATGATCAACTTTACTATAACAAACGTCTAATCAAGTTCTATTCAGATAAATTTTTTTTAAAAAGTTAATTTTTTTCGTCACTAGCCTATTATCTGCGGGAAAGTGAGGCGAGACTTTACAATCTGATCAAGTACAGCCCTACAATACTCTTCCTTCTCCATCCTACCAGCAACCCTCCTATACAAGATCATAGGTTTACAAATAGGTTTTGAACAATTTCCAATTTCCGTTTTTGCTACCTTGGTGTAGTTCTGATCTCTAAATAAATAACACCATCGTCCGCAAACTCCTCAATAACATCTTTCATGGCCTCCCCCACCGCCCAGACGTTGTCTGTTATGCTGTGGACCAGGGAGAACATTCGAAACGGATCATCAAAGCTTCCCTTCTTCCCTGCCTCGATTAGAGTATCAGATCCAGCAGGCATAGGCTCATCAGGCCACATCTTAGTGTGGTAGGCTACCAGCTTTTCAATAGTTTGGCAACTACAGTTGATCAAATATAAGAAAATTTAACGATCAAAGAACAACAGACTAACTTCACATAATCCAGATAGATAGATAGTTAGAGGGTAATAATTAAAACCAACAAAAACCACAATACTCAAAACCAAAATAATAAACAAATATTTGAATCTCTCCTTAAGGAACCATTTAGATGTGCGTGAAGCTCAACTTTGGGGAGAAGCTTACAAAATTCAGATAATTCTACCATTTTAAGTCTGACGTATTTTTTAATCTGAAAAATAAACCTTGGTGTAAAAAATGTCTTAATTTCCTTGCTGGTGAATTCAAAAACTTCAGTAGTTCCAGTCCAGCGGGAGAGAAACCCACGATGGTTTACAGTTGTTAAATTAGCTTCGTCACTTACCCTAAATAATATGGATACTCGAGAACCTGAGAAATAGTTCTGAAGGCAAAAATATAATCTATATACAAACAAAACTTAGAAATCCCGGTCAATGCAGGTTGGTCAGTATCAAGCCATTACTGATTATGTATTGTTTTTGGTTTAAAATAACGCAGGTTTCAGGCAGTTTTAATTCTAAAAAACAGCGAGTAAACATTCCTCTCCTTATTTTTATTACTCCTTGAGAAAAAAAAACACGTTAAGACAAGTTCCAACGAAAATACTGTGAGCGTAATTCTAAGGGACCCTCCATTTATGACAGAGCATGTACACACGATTCACAAAAGTACCAAAAATATAAATTTTATTATCTTTAAAACCTGATTTTATTCATTACAACGGCGGATTAAAGCTCCAGAAAAATCGAAACGTTTCCAGCATATAACAATTACGATATCTTGCATATTAATGATAATATGACAAACTTCTCTGAAAGTTTAAAGTATATTTTTCATAAGGCCCCCATTATATAAAATTGGAAGGCCACTTAAAAAAGACGACAGTCCCTTTTATGTCGTCTTCATGCACGAACTCCTACCTTCCAGGAGCCCACATAAACTCTTCCTTCTCCTGTACATTACTACCAGGTTTAGTCCAGGCAATAACATCCTTCTCTTTAGCCTTCTTTTCACGATTATACTGATCCTCTAAATATGCAAGCTATACATAAACTTAGATTAATTAAAATTACAGATAGAACACCAGATTTGTCTTTTCAAGATGTATATGTTACGCCTAGTCGGCATAGAACAGGCTCTATCTCTGTCTTGTAATTCTACGGAGAGAGAGCCTGATCTACGCTTACTGTGCATAACTCCTTTGGGCTTCTGCCTCAAGGATATTGTGAAACAACTCCTAAATCTTGAAAAGAAGACATCTAGTGTTATATCTGTAATTTTAATTAGTCTACAGTGAATCCCTTAATAACGAATACATCGGAAGAATTTATCAAATGTCGTCTTGACAATTTTTCAAACCTCAGACCAATACTTTTTGAGCTATGTAAAAAAAACTACAGGGGGGGGGGTCAACTTGACCAGCAGGAACAGGGTTAATAGAGAAAGTTTGGACTGCAGACAAAGCTGGGTTTGGGTCAAACGGTAGTACAAAACGTTATTAAAGGAGGTGAATTAAAAATGATTCTGCTAAAAAAAATATTTTTAATGCTGTCTTTTGTCTGAAAAAAAAACCGAATTGCCCTCCCTTATCAAAGCAACAAAAATGATGTAGGACTTAAAAAAAAGGAATTTGCGTTAGAGAAGTAAAATTCAGGTTTACGGCCGCGAAGGATAAAGGTTTACGAAGAACAAGGTTTACAGCCGCTAAGGATAAAGGTTTAACGAAGAACAGCTTTGCGACCTATTTTCAAATTCGGAGAAACCTACTTTTGGAGTATCTCCTTCAAACATTTGTGAAGCCTTTTCTTTTAAAACCATTTAAGAAGAGTCACTAACCTAAGGTGTCATGACCCCACCAGTAGGATCGAATGGGTTGATAGCAAACTCTATCTGCTCTTGTAGAGACCCGGAGAAGTTTCACAAGCCCTCGCATTCTATCCTACCATCATATCTGTAATCATATAATATAATTTATATTTGTTATTTCACAACCCATGCAATCAGAGTCTGATGATAATGCCACAAAACCGGGGTTAAGTTTAGATTTTAGGATTACAGGATTTGTTACGTAACTTAATCCCAGTTTAGCAGACTTGGGCTTAGAATTAGAAATATCACAATTTTCCCAGCAAGTCAATAAATTTTCATAAATATATAACCATAACAACTAGTTTTTAAACATACATCAAAAATTTTCCTTTGCATTTGTTAGCAAGATTAGAGGTACAGGAAGGGGATATATCCGAACTTGAATTATTCATGGTTACGCTGATGCGAAACCTTTTGAATTTGGAAAGTCTATGAAGACTCTTCGGAAAAAATCTGTTCCTAGCTAAGGCACTAATTAGTTCATACTGCATAATTAATAGACAGAACAGGACACAGATCTAGTGTCCATAAAATGGTCTGAGTTAAGACTTAATGAACAAGAAGGATTTGGTTGAGACGTAGTTTAACTAACCTTAGCTAGTTCAACTACTTTTCCATTAGACATAAAGTCAAAAAACCAGATTCATTTTCTGTATATCAGTTGATATATCAGGAGAGAGTGGTATAGTAGCTTACTGTTTAAATATTCTCCGATCTCTACTAGCTCTCTCCTTGACTAGAGATAAATTAAAATACTATGTTAGTCCCGTCAATATTCTTCTGTTATAGTTCTTCAGTGGCTTCTACACCAACCTCAGGTCCTAGTTCACGAACCCTGAACAAATAGTCCGATGCAAATTTTAACGTAAAGTAAAAAACAGAACCACAACGGTGCCAAATGATCTTTTTCTCTAAGCTTCAATGACAAAAATACATTTATTTTTAAGTTGGTTCAAATTTCTTTCTATTTTATAGAAACGGAATTCATCTTTGCCGTCGGGTAAAAGTTTGTTTCAACTAGTTTTTAAAATTCTTATGTATAAAATTGGAATTTATTAAACTTATTACAGATCTGTTTTCTAAAAAAGGGTCTATTTTATACCATAATTCAATATCTTGTAAGTCCCATGACGGATGAACATAACAAAATTAAAAGATTTGTTTCTGAGCAAAAAAAAGTGGGAATAATACCTAGCTTGAAAAATAGAACTGATCCCGAGAATGTCTTTTGACTCCGCAGAATAATAAACAAGTCTGTATGCTCCACTTCTAGAAATAAAATAAAATAAAACCATGTTCAGAGTTTTCTTAAATCCAGCAAAAACAAATTTAATTTTGAGAAAACAAATTTCATATTGCGGCCTTTCACTGCCATGGAACAGTCCGGATATGGAAAACTGAAATAGTAATTACAGACAAATCATTAAAGCCTTCATTACATTTGAAATAGTTTACCAATTGAAGTCAAGGAGTCCAGGAATGTCACCATTTTTAAGACTAAATTGGAGGAATTAGTCATTTAAACTGTCTTTCTGTGCTATTAGGAACTGTGTTACGAAGCATCTAGATGAATAACTTATCGAAAAGTCACGCAGTTTCCAGAGGACACCAAAGACGTTTGCACCATTGACCTAGAGGTCTCCTGCAAACCACCACACAAGTAAACAAGTAAACAAGTACAGTGTTCAGATGCAGCTGGGAGAGCTACGGGGGTTCTAACTCGAACTTATTGCATATTTAATAAATCCAAGATTTACAGGATTACCTGATAAATATAGAATCATCGAAGGATAGCTGGAATGCCTCCTGCCTAGTTGGACTGGAGGGAGCCCAGAGGAATCCAATATGATCCTGAAAACTAGCCTCCTCCCCCTTGTATACTCCTATCCAGTCCCAAGCCTTCAAATATCTCCAATCTAACACAAAAAAACTTATGAAATAATTTCAATTATGAAATGTGAAAAGATGTGGTCTGAACAGAGGCGTAAAAATATCTATCCTACTACTTTCTGCTATTCTTCTCAGAACCCNACGCCCAAACGGGTCTGATTAATTAACAGTATAACAAATTCAATCCCTCTCATCTAAACTTTTAAAAATTTGTATCAAACAGTTTGTTTCGAAATACTTTTTTTGGTTTAAAAATTAAATGGAGAACGAGAAAAATTAAGGGATGGCCCCATAGTAAAAAATGATTATTTTTTACTGAATGCCCGTCCTTAAAACTTTTTCTTATGAATATCTTTGATCTTGTTTAAAAATTCAATTATCTTTTTTTTTATTTAATGAAAACTCAACTAATTAGATCTCTTCTTTGTTGGTATTGAATAGAATCAAGAAAAAAGATATTGATTCCAAGTTAATTAACATTTTATTTCTTATCAATTCTTCTTAAAAAATGGATCCGGATCATGAACAAAAGTTAATATTGAATAATTTTTTTTTTGGTACAGATTAAAAATGTTCAAATTGTTGTTCCCCGCTCATTTTTATGCTCAAACATTGGTGAATAGTTGAGAATTGTGTTTTGAGAGCAAACAGCAAATTTTTAGCATGATTAAATAAAAACTATGACTAAAAAGTACATAGAAACTAGGACAAAGTCTTTATAACGGACAGGATCCGGTATGTAAGGAAAGTCAGAAAATTTCCACAGCCTCAGACCAATACTTTTTGAGCTATGTAAAAAAAACNGGGGGTGAGGTAGAATAAATTATTTACCTTTAACATTAACAGAGTACACGATGGTATTATCCTCTCCACAATATACATCTTCTGCACAACATTTATATTCAAAAATGAAAGAAAATATTTAAATATAAAAACTATTCGGGACTGTTAGTGTAATTTCAAGTGACCCTGCATTACAGAGGGATATGCCCGATGCACAAAGGTGCCATTTTAACCTTGATCTCATCAAAATGTGAAAGATATTGTCGATTTAACATTGTACCTCAAGCATTAATCAGCATTTCACAATTAAAAATGACCAGGTTAGAAGTAAAAAATATTGGAAGTGATACCTTATTAAATCTTGCTCATACAAAGCTTTAGGCAGTACCGTTGTAATTGGACACACCACACTTTAAACGGAGTCACCTTTAAATACGTCATCAGTCTCTTCATCATTTTAGAGAACATTTTTGAGGAAAATCCACATCAGTTTTGCTTTATTTTCTATGGCTTAAACAAACACACAGAACTTTTTCAGATACTCAATCTTGCTCTGCAAGAACATATAGGATTTTAAGCAATAATAGGAGAGAGGGCAATATAGTATAGATTAAGGAAGGATATATCTCACTAAGTGTACTGCAGTAGATTGGGGAAGGAAATATCTCACTAAGTGTACTGCAGTATATTAAGGAAGGATATATCTCACTAAGTGTACTGCAGTAGATTGAGGAAGGATATATCTTACTAAGTGTACAGCAGTTTCGGGGTTGAATTTAAGCAAATTAAGTTCAACGACTAATTCCTTAACAAAGAACCGAATTTACTTGCGGGGTGGTTGAACTGCCTTCCGCCGGTTCAAATCCTTCCTGAATCTTTAACTTTAAATCAGTGGTTCAAATTTGAACCGGCATCAGGTAGTTCATCAACGAAGCTCAAATTCATTAATTTAGGTCCCAGAACACCAAAATTTGGATTTGGTCAGGTCCAACTATTGTGCCAGGTCCAGGGAGTGTTGACTTACTGGATTACTCTCTACCGACGACGACCTGACCTCTGGACTGTGCGGACCACTCCAGCTATCCTCAACATGCGCCTACCTGGAGTTCTGAGGATCACCACCCTAGTAACCAAGTAAGGTAGGATATGCAAAAAAGAAGAAAGTTGAAATAGCAAAAACAAGGCAAATTTGTGTCTGAAATAATAGAATTCTACCCCCCCCCCCTTCCATGAATCGACGAGTTTACGCATTTGAAAAACCGAGTACATGCAAAAACGAGCCAAATATTTGACTTCATTTTAATAAAATTTCATGAATCTCGCTTTCCAAATTTGAAGTTGTTCTTCTCCCGAGGGATTGTACAGAATACTAATTTTATCTGCATTACTTACTTGAACAACATTTAACGTACTTTTCTTCCAGACACAGATAGAACAACTTTACTAAACTTTACACAAGCGAAACCATTTAAATTTAAGACGCTAATTAAAATTAATAGTGCATATTTATAAAAGAAACCACATCCTTTTTGTCCGGAAAATGTTAGGCAGAAATCTCCGAAAAGGAAATTACAGCAAAGATTCTCTCATCTTTTCAACTATTCCTCTCTTTCTCTCAATATTTGGATACATCTTTCTCTCTAACTCGCTTTCTATCTCTCTCTCTCTCTGTATCTGAGTGTTGCCCTGAGTAAAGAAAATCAATACTGAAGAGAACCGATGAACACACTGTCTCGGATAAACACCGCTCAGAGATTCATCGAATCTTAGAAATTACAGATTAAAAAAGAATGAAGAGAAACAGTGGGGAGTATAATTTTTTATAAGAGAGATTCAACAAATCTCTTGGGTTCAAATAAATGTTTCCTGTATGAAATCTGACTATTGGATGAAAGCACTGGACTAGGAGCTCCTCCGCCAGTTTACTGGAGAACACGGATAACTTGAAGGAGGATGAGACGGGTTTATGGTCAGACTCCAGGAACTCAGGGTGGGACGTGTAAGACTCCTGGTGCAGGGAGAGCTCAAGGTTGTCGTAGTTCCCCTTGTTCACCTTGAACAGGATACGATCCGTCCAAGCAGGACGGCGCTTACTGTCGAATACACCAGTTCCAACCTTAACATTTATTTGTTCTTATTTGTTAATTTGATATTAGTCTTTTTTCAAGAACATTTTTTTGCACTCCCAATTGAATGTGTGTTCTCGATTAGTTCGAATTCTCGGTACTTTATTATTTAAGTAAAAAATATTTGAGGCAATGATGTCAAAATGGGACGTGCAATCTCATTTCTCATGTATATTTTTCATTTTTCATAATTTAATAATCTTTGTTATTTTTAATAATTTTCATCATTTTTCTCTCGATTTGATCCGTTACTTGAGTACTAAGTAGCTCTCGGTTAATATTTGGCGCTTTCCAAATAAATTGAGAAGAATGAAGGTTTGTTGAGGAAATGAAAGTTCTGTAAATATTTAATTGAAGAAAAAAAACAATTCAAAAGATGTAGAATTTGCTTTTATCTTATACGATTATGGAGGGAATTGTAAGAGGCTATCCTACCTTTTACTTAAATGTAGGAGGGAAGGATGGCTATCCTACCCTATACTTGAATGTAGGAGGGAAGGATGGCTATCCTACCTTATACTTGAATGTAGGAGGGAAGGATGGCTATCCTACCTTATTCTTGAATGTAGGAGGGAAGGATGGCTATCCTACCTTTTACTTGAATGTAGGAGGGAAGGATGGCTATCCTACCGTTTACTTGAATGTAGGAGGGAAGGATGGCTATCCTACCTTATACTCGAATGTAGGAGGGAAGGATGGCTATCCTACCTTATACTTGAACGTAGGAGGGAAGGATGGCTATCCTACCTTATACTTGAATGTAGGAGGGAAGGATGGCTGGTTCTCCTCAAGTTCACTGAAAGCTTGACCAGAACTTCGAGCACCGGACAACTGGTCTTCACCCAGTAGTTTACTCAATACTCCCTTCGACACCAGGTCTTCTATCTCCTGGAAGCTGAAGCTGTTCATTTCAAGTCTTAAAACAGATTGAGTTAAATATGTCTCGAGATCTTGAGATTTTTGGTAGAATTAGCTGTAAATAGTTCATTTAACTTTTTAATTTAAATTAAAAATGTTACTTTGGGCGTAATATAACCAACAAACCACTAAAAATATCACCTGAAATTAAGATCTCCCATCCAGAAAACATAATCGTGATACATTATCAACTCTGTGTTAGGAGAAGTATAGGTATGTGATCCTAGAACTGTGTTGTAACTCTCTATTCTAGCCTAGACAAGACGCTATGTAGAAAAAACCCCATTGGTCCAAAAAGAAACAGAAAGTTTAAATTAGTTTTTTTTTAAAATATCGAAACAGACGAACACAAAGTTACAATTAGTAATGAAAAAAAAACACACTTAAAGGGCGTGACCGGCTATGTAAGGTAGTTGAACTGGGTATGCAGTGTTGTTGAAAACTTCTTTCGGATTCATTGGAGACATATTAAACTTTTTAAAGATCATTAAATCCTGAGTTTGAGCACATATTGACGTTCAAAACTCCATCTTTGGGGGTCGATACGTTTTCAGAATTAGTTTTTTTAAATTAATAAATAACGACAACGAAAAATAAAGTAAAAATTATACAGTAATCTAATTAGATGGTTAGGAACATATTTCTCAAAAGAAATTGGTCAATAAATCAATGCTAAAATCGATTATTTCGTTTTCATTATTATAATGAATTTCTTATTTTCTTTGAATTTATTTGCAATTTCTTCAAATTCTTCAAATGTCGTCTTTTCAATAATAATTCTAGAAAATCTGCGAAAATCTTTGTGAATAATGAGAAACCAGAATAATAAGAAAATAGAAACTAATAATTGAACAAGATTACTTATTTTCGATGATAAGATTAATTCTTATTTTCTCAACATGTTCCTAAACATGACGTCTTTATTTTATTGTAAAACTTTTTTACTTTTTATGTCGTCGTTATTTAATAATTTAAAAAAATTAATTCTGAAAACGTATCCACCCCCAATGGTCAAGTCTCATCCTTTTCGGGCAACCCTTTAAATTCGTACTTTGGAGTAAAACCAGGAAAATGTCCAAATCAAATCCGCATGGATAAAAGATGTACCTGGTTATTATGATCATGTGCTGCTAGATGACTGTTCAGGACACAAACAGATACACCGTAGATCTGAAACCTAATTATATCTTTATCTCAGGGATACAAGGGAGGGGGGTGTTAAAAGAAGGGGGAGGGAGGAAGGGGGCACTTTGCAAACTTTTGGAAGATGCCGCTTGAAGGAAGGGAAAGTTTGGAGGGATGATTGCAAGGTTTGTGGAAGGTGGAACAAGGAGGGATGATGTGGTAGAATAAAGGTTGATCAAAGAGGGGTTTAAGGTTGTAGGAAGGTTGATTAAGGAGGGATTACAAGGTTGGAGGAAGTTGGAACAAGGAGGGATGATGTGGAAGAATAAAGGTCGATCAAAGAGGGATTTAAGGTTGTAGGAAGGTTGATTAAGGAGGGATTACAAGGTTGGAGGAAGTTGGAACAAGGAGGGATGATGTGGTTGAATAAAGGTTGATCAAAGAGGGATTTAAGGTTGGAGGAAGGTTGATCAAGTAGGGCTTGCAAGGTTGGTGGAAGGTGCAAGAAGGAGTGATTGCAAGGTTGGAGGAAGGTGGAACAAGGAGGGATTGAAAGGTTGGTGGAAGGTGGAACAAGGAGGGATTGCAAGGTTGGTGGAAGGTCGAACAAGGAGGGATTGCAAGGAAGGAGGAAGGTTTATCAGGGAAGTATTGCGAGGTTGGAGGAAGGTTGATAAAGGAGGGATTAAGAGGTTGGAGGAAGGTTGATCAAGTAGGGATTGCGAGATTGGAGGAAGGTTGATCAAGGAGGGATTGCGATAGAAGCAGAATGACGAGGGAGGGATAGAGAGCTAACAGAAGTGGAGGTTGGGGAGTACATGAGAAATGGTATCTCCAATAATATCTTCTGTAAAAGGAAATAACTTGATATTTATATCATGAGCATGCGCTATTTTTTAACTGGTCAAGTAAAGACGAAACATATTTCAATCTCAGGTCTGTTTTTAGTAAAAGAAGTTAAAACCTGCCAAGAAAAAATAAAAATATGTTGCTCCCCCTTTCATTTTTCAGTTGACAATTCCCACACAAAGTGAAACCATACGTTGTCTGTCAAATAATATCTTTTTGGATAATATTTTACATAAGTGAAAAATTTATGATTCTCTCAGTATTAAAAGATTTTGTTAGCAAATATTCCATTTAGAATTAAAATTTCCAGCGAATATATTTATTTGATGTAAATTTAAATGTTCTGTCAAAATTATTCAATTCCCGAGATCTCTCGCAGTTATTTCGTTGAACAAGATATAAATAATTTATTACCACTTAACCTGAAAGTTTTCATTGATATTTCAAAGGATTGTAATTAAGACTGCCCCTCTGTTTATAAATCCTGATGTCCGACTCAAAACAGTGCCCTTTGAACTTTCGTTTGAGCAAACATGAAAATGTTCTTTTATTTTCTATGTGATTCCTCTGAACAATTACATGTGGATTGAAACAGCAGAGAAATGAAGGAAATTAATAAATATGGGAAATTGCTTATATAAAGGGTCACTTTTAATTATAACTTTAACCCTTTAGCCTCCCTGTTCAGTAGTATTAAACCCAGGTTAAGTCATATTCCTCCCGTGGAAATAAACGAATCAGGGACTTTGCTACAGTGATCAGTATATACAGGGTTACCCATATGAGACTTCAGACACGGCTGTAGGGACAATTTACTGTCAGTTTCCTTACATTCATCAAACTCTGCATGCATAAACGTTTCTCTTCCTTTGCCAAACCATTAAACAAGCCATTTAAAGACCATAGTCAAGGCATAAGACCCAATTAGAGCTTGGGATCGACGTCTTTTAAGGGTTTTGAATAGTCTATACAGTCTCATCCTTCATGGGTAACCCTGTAAGTAGTGTCGGTTACATAAATGGTGATGATTATAATTTCAATACGAAACCTAGCACTCCTCATTATTACGGCTGAAAGTATTCAATCTAAACTGTCAAAACCTTTTTGCAGCACTTAAGCAACCTTTATAAAAGAAAAAAATCGAAACTTCAGTAATAACGATTTTTAAAGAAGGTCTGAAGGAAAGGTCGATTTTTCAATTTTCAAAACATGTAGTAAAAGGATCGCCTGGATTCAGTCCATTTGTCCGTCTATCGATATTTAAAAATTTTTTTGATTTTAGGCTACAACACTAGTTTTTTTATACACAGACAAATATTTTGAATGTATCAAATAAAACTTTCGAACTGGTGAAAGGTGGATTTGAGAATTTTATCCCAAAAGTGCCAAATAATATATTTTACTATAGTGTTCTTACTTGGTATAGTAGAAGCCATGGACATAATTATAATTTCAATTCAAATATGCTAAAACGTTTTGTAAGAATAATATGGATCTACAAGCTTATTGGGAACCCAGCGTTACACAGGGTTCTCATAGTTTACTCGCACTTAAACGATTTTTACCGGGAAACTTAATTTTTCGCTATAAAAGTCGACCCACCCACCCGTTCCCCTATCAAAATTTGGGGCAAATCGGTCCAGGGGTTCCTGATTTATGATGGGACAAACAAACAAACAGAGATTACCGCTTTTTATAAAGAAGCGCAACCAAAATAAAAAGAACTTGTGAATGTTTTAGGATGACAGGGGGGTATATTTTCCAGAATTTTAAGAAAGGGGGGGCGAATGGAAGGCAAGTTTTTTCATTTTTTTTTCTACTTTATACATATAAATCATTCATTTGCCCCAATTCAGCGAAACCCCTCTAAAGAAACTAAATATAACTTTTTGGGAAAATTAATGTTTTTCAACTTTTGTACAAGAACCTTTCACCTTTCACGCATCTAATCAGGAAAAGAATATAATTTTTTTACGATCCGAGTCGTATATTGCAACGTTCTCAATTTGGGTAGATGCTACGTTATTCATCATAAGTCGTTTTTAACAATTATCTCCGAATAGACGCAACAGATTCAAAAGCGCTTAACATAATATTAGCCGATTTTCCTCTTCAGAATCAAACATTGATGAAAAAATGGGAAAAATACACGAAACAATACTTTTTACTCAAACTTTTTTAGTTCTCCCCTAAAAATTCAGTAAAACCCGAGATAAAAAACGCAAAGGTAAACATTCCTCATTTCTGAAAGGGGGGAGGGGGGGGGAGAATTTTTTTTTTAAATATTTATCCCTGATGGAACCTTTTCTTATGATATTTATATGTACCTGGTGTACTGTGTTTCAAGTCCACGAAGGTACGGTACATGTTTCTCCAGGCAGAACAGTAGGAGGACTAGACCCATCAACTTGATGCTTCTATAAAAAGTTAATTCACTTAATTTAAGATGAAAAAAAAATTAATTTGTTCAGAAAATTTTGTAAAATTTTAATGAAAGAATGATAGGAGAGAAAAAAAGATAAGAATAAAATAATCTGCAATATCTGTTTTAGGCGCCATTTCAAAAAGTACTAAAAAAAATTAAAAATCCAAATTTTATTCTTTAATATGCAGACAAGGATATCCTCTAGATTAAAAATGTATCTAAAAGGTTTTAAAGTATATCGGAATTGCTGGTTAGAAAAACTTATGCTTTTCATGAAAGGAAAATTTAAAAACTTTTGTTTAATGTTTAAGATTGTAAAATAAAATCAAGCTGTTGAAAGATAAAGGCAAGCATGACTTAGTTTGAAAGGAAATAGTTTAACAGATAGACATTTTAATGCTAGTTTAAATCGGGGCGCATTTTCCCCTTCTTAAACATTTTTTACTTCTTAAAGAAGCTAGAACGTCTAAAACCATGCACAAAAAAATTTTATCATTCAGTTAAACTATATTAAAGCTCAAAGAAATAAAAAAGACAGTGTCATGTATTCAGATAAACGTAATCTTTGTCTTTGTATGTATATTGTGGATTGCAAATTCCCACATTCAAATTTCAGATAAAATCTGTCATTTTATTTTTTCTCCAGAATATTCAAACTTTCTGCATTTCTAACAAATTAGAAATGGAAAGATGAAATTTTCTATTACATTTTCCAAAAAAATTTATGAAAAAATATTTGGACATATTTCGAAATTTTTCGATTCTTTTGGATGGTGTATTCACAACGTTCATAACAATGACGATCTCGAACAGTTCTACTGCTTCGGATCCGGATCCTGGATCCGCCCTGGAAAAAAATGGATCCGGATCCAGTTCCCTTACAAGATTTACTGATTTTTTAGATATGAAAAATGTTCAAACATTTTCTAGCTAAAACTTACTGAACCATTTAGAAATTTGAAATTTTTTTTTAATTTATTATTATATTGTTAAAAATCTTAATTATTGTTTGTAGAGCAATATTGTTGGTTTTGATTGATAATTTGCAAGGATGTAAGGCAAGGAAAGTCATTTCAGAAGTGTACACATCTTTAGTACTGCAGTGTACTGTCTCTGGGCGCTAATGTAAACACAAGACGGACGTCGAAGCCTGACATAGGATCCATTATTCACATAAAAAATCAATGAAATATTCTGGTCATAGGAAATTATTATGTGAATTATCAAAATTTTCAAAATTTAATGCTTTAACCTCCTCGGATACTAAACGAACACTGATGCATCTATTATTGTTTACAAATTCCGCCCAAAGAGAACTGGTTTCAATATGTACACAGAGTATACACGACCGCAATTGACTTTCCTTGCCTTACATTCTTGATAATTTGGCTCCTTGGATCCGGATCCGAGGATCCGCATATTTTCAGAAATCCGGATCCAGGAAGAAAAAATGCTGCGGATCGAACGGATCCTGATCCTAAGCACGATGATACCTGACTTTAATAAACCCTAGAGAAGAGAGGGTTTGTCTAGTTTCCCTGGACCAAGCATCTTCTCCGACCAGAAGCTGTTCAATCAGCAGTTCCTGAGCTCCACTTCGAACCTCTTGGAGTCCAATCAGGACTAAATCTAGAATCAATAATTTCTGTTTAAATTTTAAAATTTTAACATATTTCGGATGGAGAGATATGATTCGCTTAGTTCGAAGCAAAAGTAAAATAGAATTAAGTTTGAATAAGATCTTGAAAATTTAGGTATTATAGCCTCCATGTACTTTCCTAATTTTGTGGACGGTATAAATGGAATCGTTGTGAAATCGGAAGGTCACTTGAAAGTTTGATTTATCCCGAAAGTTTGATCTATCCCCCAACACATTTAGAGAATTTTTTTGTACCAAATATGGTCTAGGTTTCATTATACTCGTAAACAAATCTCTAATATAATGTTTAACGTTAATTGATTAATAAAAGTATACTTTTGCTTACCCTTTCCTTGTAACAAACATGTTTTATAACTATATTTTCCAGAGATACTTTTTCCGCGTTTTTTTTTCAAATTTTCCTTTATTTACTTCAACGGAGAACAATGTGTTTAGTTATTACAAAAGGGTTACCCGCAAAGGATGAGAATACAGAGACGGCTGAACGGAATTTATACAGATAAACTTTTTTCTTTCCTTGCCAAATCATTGGTAAGCCAAAAAATACTATAATAAAAGCAAGTTCTTTCACACATTGTTATCTGTTTAACAGAATATTTATCTAGAACTAAAATTGCCCCTCTTATGGATTACATTTTTTTAAAACCCTTCCCCCTTTCCTCTTTTATTTTCTACAGCGTTTTTATTGTGAGGCCATATAAAACAAATCAATTAATACTTGTTTTTGTTTTTGTTATTTTCCTCAATCTTTCGAAAAATTGATAATTAACCTTCTCATCTTACTTCACCAAGTCAGCCACCTGGTAATTTCCAAGTAATAAATAAATAGTAATTAAGAAATCCATGATCCTCAGTTCATATATCAAAAATCAAAATAATGTTAATTATAACAGAGAGAGAGAGGTTTAACAGAAAAGAATGTAATATATCACTGATAAAACATAGAAAATCATTTTTATTCACAAAAAAAAAAAAAAAAATAACAAGAGCCATGAGCTTAAACTTCGATTTTTACACAAAAACTCAAATAAAGTTATGAATGACCCCACCCTTAAATACACACCTGGAGTAGGATTACGAATCAGCCGAGCAATATCAGTTTCTGGTCCCGGCAGGAATTCACCCACATTGAACGTGATGAGCTGAAGGTTTAAGGCGTCCATTCCGGTTTTCAGTTTACAACCAACGAGTGCGTCGTAATAACAATATTTACTCAACTATTTCAGTTCTTTCGGCCATTGTTAAAAAGAAGATAAGCTTGAAACCTAATTGGATGATATCCATACCGAGTTATTCACTGTAGAAAGAAGAGACGTAAATAATGCGGCAGAAATCGATTTTTATAATTTTGATTTAATTCCATGCCGCCTAACTTGGCCTGGCTCCCTCTCCCAGCCCCCTCTTCTCTAACAACCTGGAGGGATGAAAATATCTGTAGACTAAAAATTTTAAAAATAAAAACCTAGTAAAGTTCGTCAATAAATTTACTTTTAACAATATTATTATTAATTTTATTCTATACAAATATCCCCCTCCGAGTCTCAGCTGTCGTCTTCGTTTATCGGGTTTCCGCTCCCCTTCAATCAATGGTGTATTTTTCGACCTACGCAAATCCGCTATACTTCATTTCTGACCTACGACAAATCCGCTATATTACACATATGCATGCGCGCAACTAAACATTTTGTTATGGGGGTGCAAGATTGATTGGGGACAAGGAAAATATACTCAAACAATAAATAATCTATAAATCTTCGAATATTCAGTATGACTCCATCTGAAATGAAATAAAAAAAAAGAAATCTATCAAACATTGTTTTTAGTTACAGGAAAATGCCTTAAACATCAAAGGAGGGGGTGGGGGCGAGGGTGTCCGCTGTATTCTTTGCTGTCCCATATAAATGTCTCGTAATTTACAGTTGCAATAACTATACCATTTACGTCTTAAATAACAAATGCAGAATGAGAGATATTGGTTTGTTTTACTGAACAAGTGGATTTTTGAAGATTTAACCTCATTCCGAATAGATTTTAGGACAAAGTTTTCACCTTTATTCAAAATTTTGTGTCAGTTTTAATTTGGATGCTTTGGAAGTCATCTGAAAGCCACAATTGCTTCCAATAATATTTAATTTTCTCGAAAATACATTTAAAGGTTTTAAGATAAGCTTGGCTTTTAAGGGCTCGGAAACAGTGATGTTGTTAAAAAGAAAGTTAATTTCCAGTTTTTATTTAACATCTATGTAGATTTTCATAAGAAGTGCAATGAATTTGATTTTCTTTTGATTTTGAATTTGACAGAATTTTCAAAAATCTTTCTTTGAATATGGCTTACTGGTATTTTTACCAGCCTTAGTAGTTTTCATCATTCACTGTTGCATTTGCTTCTGACTTACAGTTTAATTTTAACTTATTAATATAATTAAACTACAGGGTGACCCAAAAAATCTTTAATATGTAACATACAGGGTGTCCCAAAAACATGGGATTTCAGTGACGAATTCGATATATCGTCTTTGTTATGAACTAGCATTGTAATACCTAATTTCAAATGCCATAACATTATTATGTCTGCTAGAGTTTATTTAATGAAAACGGTAAATGGCTGTAAAGATGTGTCTATAATGTCTCCGCAAGATGAACAGTGAAAACGGACAAGTTTACTCTGTATGCTTCAATTTTCTTTTTTACTAAGTACAACCGCGTATACAGTCAAAACATAAACAAACAAAATGTGAGCATAGCAGACAAAACTATTACAGATTACAGCTTTCTCAGTAGGTATCACTATACTAAATCAAAAAATTATTTAAAAAAACGATATCGAATTCGTCACTGAATTCTCATGTTTATTGGGACACCCTGTATCATATTCTTATTGAGTTTTAATAATCTAATGATGTAATTTGAAATAATTATCAAATCTGCATATTGCAACTCAAATAATTGTTAAAATTTGATGATTCAGATGCCCTGGTTTGTACCAATCAAAATTTCAAACCCATTTAGTAAAGGTTTCTTAGTAATTTTTGGGTTTTGGAATTTTTAATAGGGATTATAACACTTTGCTTGTCTCAGTTTACTGACATGCTAAGTGTTTTGTTAGTAAGTATTGATAATGAACTCATTCTACTGACATGCTAAGTGTTTTGTTAGTAAGTATAGATAATAAACTCAGTCTACTGACATGCTAAGTTTTTTAAAGTAAGCATAGATAATGAACTCACTTTACTGAAATGCAGAGTGTTTTGCTAGTAAGTATAGATAATGAACTCAGTTTACTGACATGCTAAGTTTTTGCTAGTAAGTTTACATAATGAATTCAGTTTACTGACATGCTAAGTTTTTGCTAGTAAGTTTACATAATGAATTCAGTTTACTGACATGCTAAGCGTTTTGCTAGTAAGTATAGATAATGAATTCAGTCTACTGACATGCTAAGTGTTTTGCCAGTAAGTATAGATAATGAATTCAGTTTACTGACATGCTAAGTGTTTTGTTAGTAAGTATAGATAATGAACTCACTGGCATACTAAGTATTATGATTAAGTATTTGTTATTATGATTAGATAGTACAGTCAGCTCTTTGGAAAAATCTAGTTTAACTATTTTGAAGCATGTTTTATTTATTAAAAACTAAATAACAGCATTCTATCAAATTGTCCATACCTTTCTAAGGTTAATAAATTCAATCTTTAAATCTTTTATTTTATTTTCAATCATAAAAGTTTTGCATTATTATTTTTTTGCTTGATCTACTTAAACAGCTGAAGTATCTGAGTAGCACTAAGACCCTTGGTCTCCGGCAGGATGAGAATAACAAGAACGGATCCAGCTCCAGAAAGCAAGGAGAAACCGAACCATAAACCTAAACATTAAAATTTTAATTATCCTCCGAAAAAATGGAAAAAATGTCATAACTTTAAATTTGTATTTGATGCCATATTGCCAGCAAGATACGGGTGTCCCAATAAAAATGGGAACAGACATGACGACTTCTTTGTTCCATGCGGGATTATTAAATGTAAACATTATTTTGTAGTATCACAGTTAAAACGTTTAACACTGAAAACTACTAGTCTTGGGATTTCCAAAATGTGGTCTACCATTTTCCAACTTCAAAATTGACGGAGATATTATGAAATGTGCTCAGATTCCATATTATTATAATAAAAACTGTTAAAATGTTAAATATCTCGGTCAATTTGCAAAATACAAAAAGTTTAGATCACATTTTTAAAAGCTCATTAGATTTTCAATCTTTTTTCAATGGACTTTATGTCATTTATCAATTATCGGAAATCAAAGACGATATTCATGTCGTCTCTCAATGTACTTCAGCAAGGACGTGAAAATTGTATAAATATGTTTCAATTCAAATATTTAAAATCTTTCTCTCCCCGAGAGTGATTCAAGCGATCTAATAAAATTAAAAACCATAGAGAAAGGAAACGAAGAGGTAAAGCTTACCTTAGATGTACACAACCGACCTCTTAGTTTCCTTTCTCTATGTAAAAAACCAAGAAATGATCAGGATTTGAGTTGTAAACAATTATTGAACACTTTATATTAATAAGTTTAAAGAATGTTTAGAAGTGGAATCCTACACGCACCCCTGACCCATTAGTAAAAGTAAATTCAACCTAAAGTCTGACCGCGTCAACCTTGTTGCACCGGCTTATAGTCCTTTTGAGTGTCTGCTTTATTTACCCGATGTCCGGGCGATACAGTACAAACTGGGACTGGAAAGGTTGACCCAGCTCGGAAATTCAAATATACTACAGCTGCCCGTGCCTATAACCAGAATATCGGAATTTTCTCATATTGTGATAAAAGATATTTTGAATGACAAAAATCGTAAGAAACAGTTATGGCTCCAACTTTATGTTGTAATTAGGGTTTCTACTCCCCATTTTGTATTGCAGTGCAACTCCAATGGTTAATCCTAAAATGCCGCAGAACTTGGAAAGACTATAAATCCAGGAGAAAAACAGGGTTCGTTCCTTAATGGGAGTCCCTCGATACCCTCCTTTCCTATAACCTACTCCAAATTTTTAACTCATTTCTGTCACATTCAACATTTGGAATTGATTTCTGAGTGGACAAATGTTGTTGGATCCATCTTTTAGACCACAAGGCGGAACTAGGATTTGGACACAAAACTCAAAATTCAGAATTAAAGAACTCAAAGCAATAATTGCTGGTACGTTTTTTCCACCTCGTTCCCTTAAAAACCCACCCGGTTGAGCTTAAACCAGCATGATCAACTGTGCTCACACATTCGTAGGTTAACACAATAAATTTGCTAACTGAGTCAACACTCAAGATGCAGCAATACTGAAAAACAGAATACACTCAAAAAATTTCAATGAGCAGATTGTCCCAAAAAAATCTGGTTTCGACAAATTTTCATTTTCTTAAATTATAAGAATTAGGGACAGTCTGAAAGAAAAGGAAAAGAAAAAAAGTAAGAAGATTGAAACGATGGCAACAAGAATTTTTCTATTTCAACTGTATACAAGTTATAAAATTAAAAAATTCTTAAAATTGTTAAAACAAAATCATCATTATGAATGCTAAAAATTACAAAAATTTGTGTAAAAATGTTATTGATTTTTGTAAATTTGCACAGAAAAGTATAATTGTTTGATATTGTCTTATATTGTACACACAGAAGATGCTCAAAGATAGAACCACAATTAAAAGTTAAAATAGAAGATGGGTGCAAAACGCCCCAAAAGCCTATAGTATTAAATATACCTGATAACCCAACAATCTTAATAACAGGTGAATATAAACAAGTTAAGGCAAAGGCTACACCCCAGTTAGTTAGAGATGATATTGTCACTACTGCTGGGGCAACCTGAAAATGATCTAGAAATTATAAATCAAATAAATCAAGTAAAACAACGTGGATTTCTTGTTTAGAAAAAACGTAACATTAAGAATCGGACTCTGTAGATGCAAACTCCCTTAGAATTCTGTCTTGCAGTCCAATTAAATAAGACGCTAAAGGTGATATCATACACAGCTACTATTAATTGTTATAGCAACCTGTCAGGGACTGTTAAGGTAAAATGGTGGAGAGTAGCTAAAGCCTAAAAGTTTTAGGAGTTGATTGCAACCAATATTAGTTCTATCAGATGTCTCTGTCTCGAAAAATTGACATAAATGAAAAGGAAAAATGGTAAAGAAACAAAGTTATACAAAATATCTGAAAATTTATTTGTAATCAACATAAGCGTCTGAAGTTCATAAAAATCTGTTTTTTTTATCGTTAAAATCAAATAATAGATGTAATACCTTAGGTAAAGCGAGATCGGCTAGTAAGACCCAGGCAAGGGGTCCAATACCTAAACAAACCATTCAGACTTTAAAATTTTGATACCAAATGTATCATTTACTCTCAGAAAAATTAGAACCAATGGAAATTCAAACCCCCTCGGGATTTATCGAATCCCGAGGGGGTTTAAATATTTATAGATTGTTGTATAATAAAAATAAAAACCAGTTTTTTTAAAAGAAATGTACGTTGTACAGTTAATTCATATTACAATTTACATCTTCTAAAAGAACAAAATAAAAAACATCCGCAAATAGCAAAAATCAAGCCTAGATTCACATTGAAATGTGAATTTATGCTTACATACAGTAATAACCAAAAAACTCTGAAATAGGAAGACGACTTCATAGCAATAGTTAAGTGCATTTGATGTTGTTAAAAAGGAAATAGTTTTACTAGACACTTATTAGATTAATAATTAAGTAAAATGGGTCACACTGCACAATTGCTGAATATCATGCTCAAATGACAATTTAAAGTCATAACCTGATCCTAAAAGTCTTTTTCCTATTTCAGAGTTTTATGGTTACCACTGTATGATGATTAAAAACTACTTTAAGTAAAAACATATGATAATGAACTGGGATAAGGTTTATTACTGGTTTTATTTAGGATTAAATAATTTATAGCAAACAACAAAATAATCTGCAGTTGTCGGCGTTTATATCAATTCAAAGATTAGAATCTTCTTTAATTAAGATTTTTATTTTAGCAAATTCGATATAAACACTGATTGCTGTGTAATCTAGGCAATTTGAGTCAACATCATGTGGTGGGATAGGTGCAGTGATTTTCTCAGTCCAATGATATGAGAACTAAATGTATTTTTAAGAAGGGTAACAAGTCACAATCCAAAAAGCTATAAAATAGGAAGACGACATTTAAACAATCTTCAATGTTCATATGCAACAAAAAGTTTTACGAGTATAGCTTGAAATTCAGCTGATTAAGTAAAATGGATCTGTGTATACTGTAAAATTGCTATTCATTGAACTATTCAATATTTTAACTTAAGTCTCAAAGTTGTTTTCCTATTTCACAGTTATAGGCTACCACTGTAAAAATATATTTACCCAATGAGTATGCAGATACGTATAAGAAAAGGCAGACTAGGGGCACAGAGTTGAAGGGACGAGGAGGTAGAAGATATACATAGACACCCAGGACAAGCATAGATACACTCATCACTAAATCACGAAGAGGTACAATATATACATATACAGCCAGGACAAGCATAAATACACTCATCACTAAATCACGAGGAGGTAGAATACATATACAGCCAGGACAAGCATAGATACACTTATCACTAAATCATGAGGAGGTAGAATATATACATATACACCCAGGACAAGCATAGATACACTCATCACTAAATCACGAGGAGGTAGAATATATACATATACAGCCAGGACAAGCATAGAAACACTCATCACTAAATCACGAGGAGGTAGAATACATATACACCCGGGACAAGCATAGATACACTCATCACTAAATCACGAGGAAGTAGAATACATATACACCCAGGAAAAGCATAGATACACTCATCACTAAATCACGAGGAGGTAGAATATATACATATACACCCAGGACAAGCATAGATACACTCATCACTAAATCACGAGGAAGTAGAATACATATACAGCCAGGACAAGCATAGATACACTCATCACTAAATCACGAGGAGGTAGAATACATATACAGCCAGGACAAGCATAGATACACTCATCACTAAATCACGAAGAGGTACAATATATACATATACACCCAGGACAAGCATAGATACACTCATCACTAAATCATGAGGAAATATATACATATACACCCAGGACAAGCATAGATACACTCATCACTAAATCATGAGGAGGTAGAATATATGCATATACAGCCAGGACAAGCATAGATACACTCATCACTAAATCACGAGGAGGTGCAATATATACATATACAGCCAGGACAAGCATAGATACACGCATCACTAAATCATGAGGAGGTAGAATATATACATATACAGCCAGGACAAGCATAGATACACTCATCACTAAATCACTATGAGGTGCAATATATACATATACAGCCAAGACAAGCATAGATACACTCATCACTAAATCACGATGAGGTGCAATATATACATATACACCCAGGACAAGCATAGATACACCGATGAGGTGCAATATATACATATACACCCAGGACAAGCATAGATACACGCATCACTAAATCATGAGGAGGTAGAATATGTACACTACATATACACCAGGGTCAAGCTCTAACTTATATATGCTTTTCTATAGCCCTTTACATTTAAATTTTAGCACTATAAAGCACTTGTTGTTAGATTTAGTTTTTGAGAAGTAATTGGCAAGAGCATGAGACCTTTAAATCACAGTGAGAGAAATGTTCAGAATTAAACAAACCAAAATAACGACGGAATTCTTCACATTAACAATAATTCTGAGAATTTTGATGATCTAGAAATTATTATGAATGACACAGAAGCAATTGGTAGGGGGGCACAAGTAAATACCCCAGTTGCACTTCTGCATATTGCAAAGACGTACCTATAAGAGTAATTGCAAGGAGAGGTTTTCTGTTAAATTTTGCAACAACTGGGCCTAAATAACATAATAAAATAACTTAATAAGATAAATAGATAGATTTAGAGAGAGTAAAACTTATATCTAATTAGCTTATAGATAGATATGGACGCGTTTGGCTTTTTTCATTTTGTTTGTTCATCGTTCATGAATGGCCCATTTCGTTTTTTTCTACCGTTTGAAAAGTAATTGATTTCGTTCATTTTTAAAATTATCGTTCATTTTCCATCTATTTCGAACATTTTCTCACTGAGCGATTGTTCAGTAAATTCGTTTGTACAGGAAAGTTGTTCGTTCAGAAAAATCGTTAGTTCATTAAGATCGTTGGTTAAAAAAAGCGATAGATTTTTCAAAAGGTTTTTTTTTCGAAAAAATCGTTAGTTTAGTCAAAAAACCATAGTTTTAAAAAAATCTTCTGGAATTTTTTTTGATCAGTGAAAACGAACAAAATCATTTATGAATGACCAAGATGGTTAGAAAGATTTAAAACGATTTTTTTTTATTAATCTGAACGATCCATTGCGTTCGTCCATTGTTCGGTTTTTTCTTTTCTGAAAAACAATGATTTTCACAACAAATTTCGTTTAATCTAAAAATTTTCGATCTGTCAAAAAACAATGCCCAACTCTAGTTAAAGATACAAACAAACCGACCTCTTTCTACCTGCTATAAGTGTGGATACAAGCATACAATTCCTCATTATACCTGCTAAGTGTAAATACAAGCATACAAACCTCTTTATATCTGCTTTAAGTGTAGATACAAGCATACAAACCTCTTTTTACCTGCTATAAGTGTGGATACAAGCATACAAACCTCTTTTTTACCTGCTATAAGTGTGAATACAAGCATACAAACCTCTTTATACCTGCTATAAGTGTGGATACAAGCAAACAAACCTCTTTAAACCTGCTATAAGTGTGGATACAAGCATGCAAACCTCTTTATACCTGCTATAAGTGTAGATACTATGCACACCTCTTTATACCTGCTATAAGCGTGGACACAAGCATACAAACTCCGACAATAGATGAAG